TTGGTTGATAAAATAAATTCATTTTCACAGTAATAAAAAAGTAATCTAACGCATAATTTCTTATTTTTTTTGGGTAAGAAATGTTTATTTAGCTGAAAACTTGGGAACTTTTCAACAACAAAAAAAACCTTTCAAACAAAATTGGATATGAAGATATTTTAAGCTGGGGATTTGTTATCGACGATAACATTAATAGGAGAGTACAAAGATTCAAAATATATTTTTCATTGTTACTTGCTAAGCTAATAATATTCAAACAAGAACCTTGAAGGATAATTAAAGAAACATTCTTTATTGTCAATTGTGCTAGTGTTTGTTTTATAGAACTGCGCCTGTAGCATCGCATGGGCTACTGTAGTTTCAAAGCCCGGATGAAGGAGGAAGGTTGGGATTATGGTGGACGACCACATCTTGCAATAAACTGAATCGCTAAAAAAAATCGCTAACCAGAAAACATAATTCGAACCATTTTAACTCTGCCCTGGGAGTTGAAAGAAGAATTATAACGTCTTGTGATGAAAGCCGAGTTCCTTCGGAAGTCACAAGGTCGATGACCCTTCTGAAAACCGGAGCAACCATTCTTTTAGGTACATGGAATGTTCGAACACTGTAGGAGACTGGAAGACTATTCCAAGTTGCTGCAGATATGAAAATTTACAACCTCGAGGTGCTTGGAATCAGTGAACAACTAAGACCAGCTTCAGGAGAGCTTCTGTTATACTCCGACTATAAAGCAGAAAATGTCTCGCGCACAAGCACAGAAGGCACTGATAGGATGGGAGTCTCATGAACCCAGGATAATCAAAACATCCTTCAAAACAGAGAAGGAGGACATTACAATGAATATCATTCAATGCTATGCAACTACCAACGACTGTAGTCAGTTGTTTTATTGACAACTGAAGGACAAACTACTGATTCTGTACATTTATGTACTGATTTCAATACAACTGTGATAAACTCAAGAACTGTTTTCCTTGGAAATAATTCAATTCTCATCTGTGGGAGTCTCATCAGCGCTGATAGCGTGGTGACTGACGAAATCTCAGCTCGGATACAGAAAGCTCGATCGGCTTTTGCCAATTTACGCCGTTTATAGTGTAGACGAGATATCCGTTCGCTAACAAATGACGGGTGTACTGTGCAGCAGTTCGCTCCGTTCTCCTATATGGATGCGAAACATGGCTGTTAAGAGTAGAAGATGTTCGTAGGTTACTAGTACTCGATCATAGATGTTTAAGAAGCATTGCTCGTATATCGTGGGACAACCGAGTAAGCAATGCTGTAGTTAGGAAACGAGTACTAGGTAAGGATGGCAGATCAATAGATGAAGTGGTGAAACTTCATCAGTTGAGGTGGTTGGGACATGTCTTACGAATGCCTAACCACCGACTGCTTCGTCGAGCTATGTTTTGTGGTGTAGGAATAGGTTGGAAGACAGTTAGGGGCGGCGGGACCAAAACATGGCAGAAATCCATGAAGTCATTGACTAGTGGACTGAGTCATGTTGGTAGATGTAGGCTACCTGGTTGAGGTCCACGAGACGAAAGTCACCGATGATTAGAGACCTTGAATGACATGGCTCAAAATCGTTTGCAATGGCGCAATTGCATCTACTTTTTGTGTTCTCCCAAATCCTAATCTTCTGGATTCGTCAGCACCTATACCTTTGTCTTTCTAACCTTATCTCACTGAATTATACTTCTTGAATAATATCTTCAAACCCTAGTCTTCTTTATTAACATCAATACCTCTACCATCTCTATCACTATGGGATTTGATTTGACATTTGCGTCTCTGTTCTAATAATGTGGTATGGCAACATGAACTTATGTACATACGTACGAAGTTGTACGTTGTAACTAACTAACTGACTGAATGACTGACTGAATTCTCATCTGTTGTATAGATAATAAAAATACCTTGTACAAACTTGTCAGTCATAATTAGACACAGATTATCAAGGGAACTTCAAGATTTATACATATATGTTAGAAGATGAAACAACCAGTGATGTTTAATGTCAGCCTCCCTCTACTATTGAATCAATAAAATCACTGATTGTTCCAATGATAATGACAAAGTTTCAATGAAATTTACATTGATTTAGATGAGTTTTAGTTTTAAGATGAAAGTATTACTTAATTACTGTCGGCTTTGCGTAAGGCAATCAAAGAAAATTAAAATATTCAGTAAAAGATAAATTTTATTTTTTATTCAATAACTGCGTGAAATTTGGTTAGATTTTATTTTGTAAAATGTTTGAAATTGATATTTTTACTTACTTACTTACTTACTTACTTACTTACTTACTTACTTACTTACTTACTTACTTACTTACTTACTTACTTACTTACTTACTTACTTACTTACTTACTTACTTACCTACTTACCTACTTACTTACTTATGCACTTACTACCTGTTACCCCCAATGGAGTGTAGGCCTCCGACTAGTGTAATATGATACGATGCTTAAATTAAATTGTCTAAGAAATACGTGATTAAGATTATTCGTTAAAGTGCTTGATATTTTTTTCATTACATCGTCAAGGGTGTTTTTTTTTATAGTTAGTTAGATAATATGATAGTTGATATTTGTTATAACCCTAATTGTAAGGTAAAACAGTTGACCTGCAGTCGACATAAAACCATGAAACTAGGTTTCATGCAATTTGGCGCTAGTCAGTAAAATCTACTCATAGTCTTGAAGGAACCAATGTACCTTAGCAGAATTTGATCCTATGATACCTAGCTTCATAATCATAAACATTAGCATTGAACTATGCAGGTCGCAAGTGACTAACCTTCAAGAATTATTTTTGAAAGTCTAATTCTATTGGTCAATTCCTACTGGTCAATATTATGGTCGTCCTAACTGTCAATGTCACAGACCTCAATGTCGTTTCCCATTCGACCTAACTGTATAAATGCGCATTATCTGTAAAGCTTATAACTCCTTCCTTCATTCATTCCTTCTGTACTCGACCCTTTATAAACAACTTCATCTACTGGCGTTGTGTTCTGATAGTTATTGGAGATTTGGGAACAGTATTTGGGGGTCGTACTGGAATATCTGAATTTGGTCAATCAGTAGGATTTCGAATAGCTACATATAGCAGCATTATAACACAAGTACACTTTGTTGATAAGTACCGATCAGCATGAAACTTAGGTCAACCATCATATATACACCAACAAAATGAATGTGATGTATAGCCACCAAGATTAATGATCGCATTTAGACTCAATCAATTAGATTCGATCAATACTAAGATGAAACTGACGAAGATGACATTGATTACTCACTGTGTGGTAATCTGTCCATTGTAAATGCAAATATAATTAATTCACAATAATACCTTAGTTTCTAGGGTGTAACCTAACCTTTTTCAGATAACTAAATATACATAGTAGTTAACTATATTTATCAAAAAACATTTATGATACCGTAATTGTACTAACTCTCACTGTTATTTTGCTTTGAAGTTAAGCATCGTTATTTGATTGGCTGATTAGGAGATCAAGGTCACTTTAAACTGTTCTGATGTTTGCTTAATTTAATGTTATTTATTAATCATACATTTTGTACTGTGTTTTACTTTCTTATAGATAGTAAGCATAAATACGCATTGACAAAGTAGTATAAATAGATTAATACCAAAAAAGAGATTAGTTTAAGAATTAATAACTGGGTGAAATTATACTAATGATTGAAGAGTAGCAAAAAGAATTCAAGTCGAATAGGAGTTTCATCATACTCCAGTCTAATACTACTACTACTACTACTACTACTACTATGCAACAAACTACTTAAAAAGCCACTTTGTAAAATAGCATCCATAAAAACTAGAATAAAATAGTCATACAGTAAGTAAATATTCCTTTGATTGACAATCATACCGTAAAAGAAATTGATCAACCCAATAACTGAGAAAAAAAAACAATTACCTTCTTTCTACCTTTCAATTTTATTTATCAGATTTAATATAAAACATTTTAGAAAAAAAAATAACCAAATATCTATTTTCTTTTCAATGTCCTATAAATAACTAAAAAAAAAAGCGTTCACACGATTTTCTGTCTTTTTTTGTTGATGAAATCATTTTATTAGTAGTATGTAAGGAAGCATTAAAAAAATCGATCGAAAAACTCCAAAATAAGAAATCTCTCTCTCTCTCTCTCTACATATAAAAATGTGTATGCTCAAACCGTTTTGTGTGAATAACTTCCGTGGCTAATTTATTTATAATCACCATGGTAACCAGTTGAACATTTGAAAAGAGTAGTTGTGATTTTTATTTTTTAAGTATATTAGCTTGTGTAAAAGTGTGTGTGTGAGAGCGTGTGTGATATAAGCTAGGAATTAACAGGAATATCTCATAGGAAAATAAAATGAGTTCAATAGGGAGAAGAAATTTTATTGAAATGTGCAATAATGGGAAAATATTTATTTATAGATAGATAGAGAAAGATCAACAAACAATTTCAGTAATATCGAATAAATTAATTGTAAGATTCATTTTTTTTTTGGGAAGGTTTTTTGTTTGTGAAAATCCATCCACGTATACACAGTTGTAATTTGTTCTTATTGATTGCTTCAGTTGTACATTTTGTTAATCCGTTCAATTCCATTTTTGAGATGATAATATTTGTATTTTATGGTTATAGTTTCTATTTCTTCTGCCTTTTACTGAGTTTCTATGTTTCTTTCTGAATTGCATTTATGTTGTTTAAGTTGATACTTAGTCATGGTGACAGCCATATTGATTTGTTCCTCTTTTGATTGTGTCGGTTGCTTGTATTGACTGGAATTGTACATTTTGATTGTGAATTGAAGCACTCTTCCAGGATTGGAAACACTCTGTGTTATAAAGCAATCAAATATTATCTTTCAAATGAATCTGATCTATCCAGAAGGAATAGAATATCAGTTATCTGTTGCTGTTGTGGATTTGATTAATTGAACAATTGTTGGTGGAATAACTGAGTGGTAATTTTTATTTAGAACCGTCATTTATCCAGTCACTGTGTTTTGGTTTCAGACTGGGCGGTAGCGCGCATTTAAACTAGCTGGACAGTTAGTTATTCCTCAATCCAAACCTCAATTTGGCTCCTACATAAATTTAGCTACACAATTATTGTTTGAAATATTACTTACTTACTTACTTACTTACGCCTGTTATCCCCAATCGAGCATAGGCTGCCCACCAGTTTTCGCCAACCAACTCTGTCATGGGCTTCCTTCTGTAGTTCTGCCCAATGTTTGTTCATTCCTCTCATATCTTTCTCTATTTCTCAGCGTAATTTATTCTTTGGCCTTCCTCTTTTCCTTTTGACTTGAGGGTTCCATGTGAGGGCTTCTCTCGTGACGCAGTTAGGTGCTTTTCGTAGTGTGTGTCCTATCCACTTCCACCGCTTCTTCCTGATTTCCTCATCCACTGGAATCTGACTTGTTCTCTCCCACAGTTCGTTGTTGCTGATGGTGTCTGGCCAACGAATCCTAAGTATTTTGCATAGACAACTGTTCATAAACACTTGTATCGTCTGGATGATGGCTTTGGTAGTTCGCCAAGTTTCCGCTCCATACAGTAGAACTATCTTGACATTTTTATTGAAAATCCTGATTTTGGTTTTGGTTGAAAGTTGTTTGGAGTTCCAGATATTTTTCAACTGTAGAAATGCAGCACTTGCTTTGCCAATCCGCGCCCTCACATCTACATCGGATCCACCATGATTTTCGATGATGCCGCCAAGATATATAAAGGTGTTAACGTCCTCCAAGGCATCTCCATCAAGAGTGATTTGGTTGACGCATGTTGTGTTGCATCGGAGAATTTTGCTTTTTCCTTTATGTATGTTGAGACCTACTGCTGCAGAGGCTGCTGCTACACTGGTCGTCTTCTCTTGCATTTGTTGTTGCGTGTGAGATAGAAGAGCCAGGATTGTTTGAAATATAATGAATACTAATTAAACAAAACTATTCTGTTCTGTTATGAAATGAGAGAAGCTTCGTTGGATGTATCTGGTCTGTATCATTGATATACAGGGTTGATCTGATGCAGCAGATGTGAAGGCACAGATCGGCAAAACAAGAAAAGTATTTCTCTAGTTGAACAACATCTACAACTTAAAACAACACAAGACAAACACCAAAGTCAAATTTCTCAATATAAATATCAAAACAGTTCTATAGTATGGAGTAGTAGAAACTTGAAGGATCACGGAAAGCCATCATCCAGTAGAAATAAGTATTTCTCAAAAGTTGTCAACAAAAATTACTTCTGATCCGTTGACCAGACACCATCAGCAACAACCCATAGGTGGGGGGATAGAACAAACCAGATTCCATCAGAGGAGCAAAATCAGGTTAAACCGCTGGAAGTAAATATGACACATTGCATGAAGCATCTAACTGCGTCACAAGGCAAGCCCTTATTTGGACTCTTCAAGGCCAAAGGTAAGGAGGAAGGCCAAGGAACAAATAATGCCGAGAAAAAGGAGACAGACATGAGAAGAATGAACAAAAATTGGATAGAACTGCATAAGGAGGCCCAGTACAGATTAGGCTGGAGAATGCTTGTTGGCGGCCTATGGAGGCCACAGGCGTAAGTAACCAAGTAATTATCGATTCTTATCATATCACAAAAAAGACATTCCATTTAAATTCCAGGGAATTATGTTTACTTAATTTGTTAATGTATACTTTAGTATGATGCAATTACTGGCTGCCATATCCGACATTGTATTCAACATACAATCTTGAATAAAGTCATTATTATCATTGTTATTGAATTTCAACCATTTAAGATTTAAAACAATGACGTTACTTTTTAAATATTACATTGCAGAACATTCAATCATTCCCATAAATGATGTTCAACTTTCAAACATTAATCCATGGTGTTTATGTCATCATCCTTAAGAAGATGAAACACACTAACCAGTCATATAGCTTTGTATTAGATAGTCTCAGAAATTTCCTAGTAAGCATGTCATTGATTACATCGTTGGATGTCGGCCCAGTGGTCCGATGGTAAGGCGTTCGCCTACAATGCCGAAGGTCCCGGGTTCGAATCCTGCGAGGAGCAGGAGTCGTGGATGCGCACTGCCACTGATGAGTCCCATACCAGGACGAAACGGCCGTCCAGTGCTTCCACGTTTCTAATGGTGGTCTAACAATGATTGATTGATGATTTCAAATGTGTAAAAAACGCAAACCTCCAAAACTCTGCCCCAAAATAGTTTAACTCTAAAACTTTGACTATTAGTTAGACAAGTTGACATAAATAATAATAATATTAACAAAAAGAGCATAATATCAGTCGGCAACAACAAAGAACTTCGTATGTACGTACGTACGTACGTACGTATACCAGTTCAAGTTGTCATCCTACACTAGCACAGATATTCAATTGTCAATGCAAATCACCATAGTAGTTAAGGTAGTAGAAGTATTTAGTGGTAATGGAGAAAGAAGATTAGGGTTCGAAGATATGATTCGAGATGTATAATCTAATGACATAAACTTAAAAGGAAAAAGATACAGGTGATGAGGAATTCGGAATATTAGAATTTCAGTACAGAACACAATGAATGAATGCACCTGTGCTACTGTAAACGATTTTGAGCCATATCATTGACAGTCTCAAAACATCGTTTACTATTGCCTCGCGGACGCCAACCAAATAGTAGTGTACATCTACTAACTTGGCTCAATCCAGTTCCCAATAACTTCATAGGTTTGTGTCATATTTTGGTTTAGCCGCCCCTCTAGTATTCTTTGAGTCTACCTCTACATCAGGCATTATTGTTTGCCAAGACAGTCGATAGTTGATCATTCGTTATACATGTTCCAAACACTTCAACTCATCTTCTTAACAATAGCATTGCTTACTCGTTTTTCGCAGTAAATACAAGCAATGCTTCGAAGACAATTATGATTGAATACATTTGAAATCATCAATCAATCATTAGAAACCCGGAAGCACTGGACGGCCGTTTCGTCCTAATATGGGACTCATCAGCAGTGCGCATCCACGACTCCTGCTCCTCGCAGGATTCGAACCCGGGACCTCTGGCATTGTAGGCGAACGCCTTACCATCGGACCACTGGGCCGGCATCCAACGGTGTTAATGTCTAACTCTGATTGATCTAGAGATTTTGCGCGACCTCACCCATTTGTCTTTGGTAGTTACTGCCTACACCCGACAGGGTTGAACTCCACTGGTTGAATACTTGTAACCTACGTATTATCCTCCACTCGCTTACTAGCCATGTTTCACACCCATATGCATTTTTTTAATGCCTAAACATAAAAAAAAACGATAAAAATCAAATCGACTACATACAACATAAATAATATCAAGTCACCTAGCAACCAACATAGTTCAACTTGACTGATAAAATTGAAAAAAAAAACAGTTGACTTTTTATCATCGATAAACTATCGTTGTTAGTTAATGTTATTCCTTTCTCAGTCTTTTCAAATTTATTACTAAACAGTCATTACACTGAGAATTAGAAGTAGACTTCGAAAGAATAAAAATATCAACATGGTAGAATTGGAAAGGAATGCCGAGGACAGAGTAAGCAAGTTAGAGTATGATGGTCGGTGACCTATGCTCCATAAAGTAACTTTAATTGCGATTATACAACTCAAATGTTATGCTCGTCAGTCGATATGCTTGAAACTATTGTGTGTTTACCTTGGTCGATAAATAAGAACGAGACAATAAATCAGTGACACAGTAGGCTACTTTGATCCGTTGACCAAAGAGAACTAACGAAAAGTCTTGATATAACGTAGAAAGCATATTCTACAAACATCCAGAAAATATACTGATCTCAAGCACACAAACAATGATTTTTTTCATGATTTCAGTCAAAAACAATAATTTCCATAAGTTTCTAATGTGTAGCATACAATGTGCCCTAACAAGTGACTAGCCTCGAGAAGAAATTATCGTAGATTTAGTAAGAAGCCGTGATCACTGGCGGTCAGCTCTACTGAGTGTAGGTAATCAATCACCCAGTGAAGACAATGGATAAAGTTGCTCAAGATCATGGATTGATCAAAATTAGACGTTCACACCATTAGACACCAGCTCAGTCAGTCAGTGCTGTTACGGGTATGAGGGTGGTTATCACTTCCCGGCTGCCCACAACGTGGAAGGTTGTTTCTTGAGGGACCTGAAAAGGAAGATAGATTAGTGATGGTGTTAGAGACCTGGGAGCGTGACCGCAGAGTCCAAGGGACAACTGCTTGAGGCCGGTCACGCACGGCCTTTTTATGAGAGGTATTTAGATGATTAGCTCCGTTCTTAAAGGCCCTTAGTGGGCACCCTCACCCAAGGAGATGGAAATCCGTGAGGTAGGGGAGGTGTGACATTTTTAGGGCCGACCTTTTCTAACCCTTCCTTCCTTGTGAGAAGGCAGCATCGCTGCAGATGCTGGTTGTCCGAGGGAAACACCTTACTGCTGTCACACCCCTCTGCAGTCAGCAGTACGACTTCGCCCTCAGACCTTGGGTAGCCGCTGCTTTTAGTCTCATCGCTTTCCAATCGAACTGCCTGGCATGGTAGAACCTTCAGGAACATATGTTCCAGCCAGTACACCTTGGTTAGGTCATCACGATAGTCAAGCCCGACCACCACATCAAGGTAGCAGCTCAGTGTTCTGGAGGTTAGCCCTTTCGCATGCAAGACGGAAAGAGTCGTGGATGCGCACTGTTGATGAGTAGTCTCATACAAGGACGAAACAGCTGTCCATTTCTCTCAGGTTTCTAATGATCGATTAATTTTTTTTTAAAAACGTAACTCAACAATCTCCACAAACCCATAATGTAAATAATTATTTACAAGTTAATTAGTTATAGTTTTTCAGTTTATTATTATGATGAAAAGGGAATTACAACAAATCACCAAGATTGTATACAATTTACTGTTGGCGAATTGGATTAAAACATACCTTTCTTTACTACTTACGTAAGTGTTATACGCCTGCCTCTATGTGTCTCAGTGTGTGGATGTGCATGTTTGTGTGTGTGTGAAATGATCCAGTCAAAAAATTAATAATTAGTGTCGGGCCGACCAATCAAAAGCTGAACAACCTTTACAAGCAAGCCTATAATATAACAATTATCATGTGCTCACTAGTGTGAATAGCTAAGTGAGGGAATTCTCAGAGTCCTAAGTCATAACTAATGGAATTCAAAAGTGTGTGATGCGGGGGGGGGCTAGTTACACACACACCGAAGACAATGAATGATGATCACGCCACATTGTGTGGATTGATAATTAATTTTTCCACTCTGTTACAAAAACATTGTAATGACATACGTAATGAATTGAAATGTAGTTTTATATGCAGGTTGCCGAATTGAGCTGTTTCGAAATAAAAAGAAACTTGTTTCTTACTTACTTACTTACTTAATTAATTACTTACTGGTTTACTTACTCCTATCACCTCCAATGGAGCATGGGCCGAAACTTGTTTCTTAGTACTATCTTTTGTTACAATCAACAATCTCGAACGTTCGATTTAATATAGGTGTTATGATATTAAGGTTTTTCTTAGTTGGTAAACTCCGCCAAGAGCACCTCTGAGGATAAGGACGGTTCCGAGCCCGGATAAAGAAGGAGAGTTGGGTGTGGGGTTAGCGACCCCATCGCATAGAAAACTAACTCGCTAAAGAAACGTAAGTAAGGAAAAATAGTTGGAAATACACGTTTACACAATCTAACAAAGGAAATAATTTCGAAAAATCACTTATCCAACGTTTACACCCATTCGAGTCACAAGAACAGCCCTCACTTGGAATTCTCAAGGTCAATGTAGAAGAGGAAGACCAAAGAACACGATACGCCAAGTACTGGAGAAAGACATGAAAAGAACGACCGAAAATTGGTTAGAACTGGGAAAAAAAGGCTCAGGACAGAGTAGGTTGGAGAATGCTGATGAGTGACCTATGCTCAGTGGGGAGTGACAGGTGTAAGTAAGTCAGTAATCCATTTAAAGAAAAGTACAAAAGCTTTATGACACCATGACTAGCATATATACTATACAATGAATAAGCTGCAAGACGTGATCTAACCCAAAAAAAACTAATCTGAACATTAATACATAATATTTTCTTTTATTGTAAAGACAGTTTGCTGCTTAGAAAAAATTTATTTATGTCCATGTCAATATATATTACTTACGTACTTATGCTTGTTACCCCCGATGGAGCGAGCATATGCCGCTGACCAGCATTTTTCAACCTACTTTTTCCTCTGCCTTCCTTTCTAGTTTTGAGTAAATTATTTTCTTCATTCTTCTCATGTCTGTCGCAATTTCTTGGAGTAATATATTCCTTAGCCCTCCTTTTTTCCTTTGACTTTGAGGATTCCAACTCAACGCTTGTCTAGTGAAGCAATCAGGTGCTTTCCGCAATGTTTATCCTATTCACTTCCAGCACTTCTTCCTGATTTCCATCTCCGTTGGATTCTAGTTTCTTCTCTACCACACAGTAGGTTGTTGCTGATAGTGATCTGGCCAACAGATCCGAAGTATTTTGTGTAGACAACTGGTTATAAATACATGGTACTTATACTGTGCCAAATTATAAAGTTTTATTTCAAAATGAACAAAATCACTTTTATTTCTAATTCCATAAAAACGTGAATTCCCTAAAACCAATTATCCTTTTCGTATTTTTTTTAAACAATTATTCTTAATTGATCTTTTGGAACTTCAACTTATCTCCTCAAATGTTCCAATCTTTAAATGAATGGCAGATCGATAGACGCAGTAGTGACACTTCATCAGTTGAGGTGGTTGAGATATGTGTTGCGTATACCTAACCACCGACAGCCTCGTCGAGCTTTGTTTTGTAGTGTAGGAATAGGTTGGAAGAAAGTTAGGGGCGGCCAAACCAAAACATGGCAGAAATCCATCAAGTCATATACAAATGGACTTAGCCATGTCGGTAATTGTCGAATACCTGGTTGGGGTCCGCGAGATGATAATAATTGATGGTTAGAGACCTTGAATGACATGGCTCAAAATCGTTCGCAATGGCGCCGGTGCATTTATTCTTTGTGTTCTCTCTAATCCTAATCTTCTGGATTCTTCAACAACTCTAGTTTTGACTTTCTAAAATTTTCTCACTGAATCATACTTCCTTGAATAATATCTTCTAATCCTAAACTCTCCGACTACTGCTAATACCTTTACTACCTCTTCTACTATTGGATTTGAATTGACGATTACTTCTCTGTGCTGATAAGGTATGGCAGCATGAACTGATGTACTTACGTACGAAGTTCTCTGTTGCATCTGACTGACTGAATCTTTGCATAAACAATAACTTATTTTTCCATGCAACAAAGCATATTTGACTAGAATTTCTCCCCGAAAATCAATAAACCATAATTAGTACCAACCAAATCAGAACTGTATGGTTTACTTTCAATGACTAAGTAAAGTAAGCAAGTAAGTAAGTAAGCTTGAATGTATGTATGTACATATTGCAAATTGTATACATATAAATATATAAATATTATCTCAGAATCAATCAATTTTTATTGATGATTTATGGTTGGGAAAAAAGGTCTGGACAAAATATACACCATACAGACAGACACATATACAGATAGATAGATAGATAAATAGATAGATATATTCACGTATGAAATAAAATATCGAAATACTGGGCACCATATTTAATTTGATTAAAAATAAGTAAGTACACTAAAACAAAAAAAAAAGAAATATTAACTGAATAAATTAAATGCATTATTGTCTGAAATAAATGTGTTTTTTTTCATCTTACATATTTGTTCAATGTACAATGTACAATGTAGGTAGGTGGTTAAAAAGGAAGACACTAGTAAAAGAGTTAAAAGTTTGTCCATTTGAACTAATTTGCAAAAAGAAAATAAAATAATTATGACTAAAAAATATTGCAAATTATTAACTTATCTATCACATTGATAATTCTGTTAAATGTATTGAACATTGAACAAGTTGTTTTTTGGATAATTCATTTGATCTTTGAGGTTAATTTGTATGAGTTGATGAAAGAAACATCCTTCTTTTTAGAAAGACATTGACAACAACAACACGAAGTTGATGAAAAGATTAGACGAAGAGAAAAATAAGTTGTTTTACTTTTTTTTTATAGTAGTAGTCTCATACAGAATACTTACTACTCATTCAATATATAGTCTTGTTATTCTATCAATGAATCATTCTGATTAGTTGATTATTTACACGAAACAATATCCGGTAATTCAATACGATTCTCATCATCGACAGTAATCAATGCATTGTGTTGATTTGTTTTACCATTCAACGTATTATTATGATGATGTTGATGTTGATGCTGATGCTGAATACCACCACCATGATTACGATGATGATAGAATAATTTATTAGATCGTAAAATTTTCAAACGATGCTTTGATTTACGTTGATAATTAATAATAATTAATATGCCTAAAGTTACAATGAATAATATGATCAGTAAGATTATAGCTGAAACAATCCAAATTTTATGCCGATGATCGGTTTTACTATGACCATATTTTGTAAGGACAACAATATTATTAAACACTGGTGTTGTTGTTGGTGGTGGTGTTGTATTCGCCGATTGTATCACAGTTGATACAGTTGTTATCACTGTTGGTACTTCCAATGTAGGAGGCTGAGTACTACTGAATAATTCCATTGAATTTATAGTTGGACTGATGAATTGATTATTTGATACAATGGTGATGATAGGTTTTTCAGGTTGATCTATACCAGACTGAGCTTGTTTTAATGGTAAATTATTTCTACATAGCATATCATCTGAACAGACACCATAAACACAACTATCCAATGGTAAATGATCAGTTAATTTATCATTTAACAATGACGATGTTGGCGATGGCGATGAAGATGATGGCGATGATTTTGATGATGATGAGAATCGTGTAAATTTCACTAGATATTGTCTTAACGGTGGTCCTGGCCTTATACGTATCACATGAACATTAGGATTTTGTATACATTGAATACAATAAAATTGTAATGCGACACCTTCACAATCAACAAATCGTATAACAGAGATTAATGAAGTAAATATTAAATATTCCGGATATTTAGCTTTACAATTCAATGTAATTTCACGTAGATTAATTAAACCACTAAAACTACAACTATCCCAATGCATTAAACTTGTACGTGCCAGAAGATTTATCAGTCCATCGGTACCAGCTAAAGTTAATGCATTAATTTGATGTGTAGGAATATTGAAATCAAGTTGTAATGTATCGATTAAATTATTAATAAATAAATTTGAAAATGCCCATGGATTAATTGATAATTGTACATTTGAAGTATCATCATTTGAATTATATGGACCGATACAAATGAATTTATTCACTCGTTCACATGATATTTCTTCAGAATAATTTAATAATGATTGAGTTAATGAACAATGAGTTAATTGGATAACATTTGTGTTATTATTATTATTATTAGTTGAGTTTACATAACAATAACATTTTTCAAGATTTGATTTTTGAACATGTATTAATATGATCAATAGGGAATTGAACAATATAATGCCACAATAGTTCCAAGTTATCATAATTCTTAATTGTTATTCTTCTGATTATTATTATGATATTAGACATAGGCATCTAAGTACCGCCTGTACGGCGGAAATGTCAATTATCAAGTTTTTTGTGACATTATCAATGTACTAGTTAACGTGTCAATAAAATATGCAACACATGCTCCCACATAAAACACACAATATTAAATAGTAAGGATAAAAAAATACTGTAACGCATTCAAGTATTCTATTCACTGATTGGTCAGTAGACAATGACGTCAAATGTATCGATTGACAGATTTTCTTCTACTGACCAATCAGAATTCAGAATTTGACAACCAATAGGAATATTCATTGAGAAAGTATTCATCTCTATTCCTTGAACGAACATGAAAATGATGCCTAAAATAAAATGTCAGTCAATTTGACCTTATTTGTTTATGAAAATACAGAATAAGCTAGTTCATTAGAACAATGGAATAAATTATCATTATTATAAGTATTAAGGTCAAGAATATCTACTGGCAAGCTGGAGAGTCATGTTTATAATTGCCTATATATATATATATATATATATATATATATATATATATATATATATATATATATACCGAGAACAATGATTATAATAGTGTATTGAAGTCCTTGAAGTTCCTTAAGTTAAAATATATTGTCATCATTAGACCTTGCTAATTTATTCTCACGCAAAAAATCCACGAGGTCAGGTGCTTATTAAACCAAATCAAAGTAGGTGTTTTCTAAAACTGCCGTTGACTTTGTACAATTTAACAAATACAAGGCAGATAAGAAAACTATTCGTTTAACAACATACAAGAATGTGCAATAGTGAACCATAGATTTGTAACAATTGCAAGTTACATGTACGATGAAAACACTCAACAACTTCGTATAGAAATGAATTTATGTGTTTTTTATTGATTCAATTTCTTCAAAGACTCACTTCATTTGAAACATGGGATTGAAATGTTGAACAATAAAACTAATCTTGAATGAAAGAACGGCCGTCCAATGCATCCAGGTTTCTAATGGTGCTCTAACAATAATTCATTCATGATTTCAAGCTAATCTCCATAGTCAAAATAAAAACTCGGATGGATTGTAGATTCACTGTTTAGGGACGACTTAAATTTGATTTTTCACCAATAAAACGTTAGCTAGAAGTTAAGTGAAAATTATTAGATACCATCTCTGCAGTTTAGAGCTTAAGCTTTTTAATGCAATAGTAGTTGTCGGTCCTCAAGTCGATTTCTGATGAGGTTGTGGATGCATACTCTGATGAAGGAATATCAATATAACAGGATACCTAACCAATGTTAATCTGTGCTGTAAACTTTCAAAATACGCGATTTTGAAACGATTTTATATTTGCGAGATATTCGTTCGCTAACCAAAGGACGAGTGTACTGCGCAGCAGTTCGCTCCGTTCTCCTATATGGATGTGAAACATGGCCGTTAAGAGTAGAAGATGTTCGTAGGTTACTAGTGTTCGATCATAGATGTTTAAGAAGCATTGCTCGTATATCGTGGGACAACCGAGTAAGCAATGCTGTCGTTATGAAACGAGTACTAGGTAAGGATGGCAGATCAATAGATGAAGGAATGAAACTTCATCAGTTGAGTTGGTTGGGGAAGGTGTTATGTATGGCTAACCACTGGCTTCGTCGGCATGAAGGACCGACGGTCTTGAGCTCGAATCCTGAGAGTGGCTGGAGTTGCGGATACGCACTGCTGGAGAATCCTATCATGGGATGAAACAACCATCCAATGCCTCCAGATTTCTAATAGTGGTCTTGTAGTGAACGAGAACACAGGTGGAGCTACCGGATTGTATTTAACGAAAATTACAGAGTCACTCAGTAAAATCGGAAAACCATATCGTAAATCGTTAATTTGTAAAATATCAGTCCATCCTATCGAACTGGACTGTTCCTGTTGCAAAACATTAATCCATTGTCACTATTCATGCGTTTCATACAAATTCCATTGTTTTCTAACTCTTCCTTTCTTGATCTTCCCCCCATATTATGCTACCAGACATTATGTTGACACTCACGTCATATACTACTTATAAGCAGCTCGCACTACAGTCTAACCATAAGTAATTCATGATTTCACTGAAATAAACAACAATCTCCCTAACTCTAAATAGAAAATAACAAAAGACAGTTAGGGAAAACAGTTTTACAATCAAAAAGGTAGAACAAAATTATGTGATTTTTAATTTGTTAATTAGTTTCATTTATGGTCAATTGTTTCAATAGGTTACCTTCATACATCATTAAAAGAAATCTAATGTTTAAATTGTTTTTGTCATGTTTTACAGCATCTGTGTATTTATTATTCATGACAGGAATATAAGTTGTAGCTTAATGGACTTCTTGTCCTTATGGCATGACCTTTTGAACTTTTATATGTATAAGTGTGTCATCAGTTGACCTTACAAAAGTATATCACTTGAAATAGATCAAAGAATATCCTATTGGTAAAATTAGTCAATCTAGGAGAGAAACAATTCCCCGGACTATAAATCATTCAATTAAAAAAGTATTTAGAACAATAATTTACCCACTGATGTCATTCAAATTTAAGATGTCGTTTTGTTTAAACAAAAGATAACAGAAACAGTGTGTGTTCCTAATATTTCACATTTTCATTATACTGATTGTTAAAAAGTGTGAGTCACGGTAGCTCTGAAACTAAGTGCAGTGTTAGCTAGTAGTTATTGGAACTGTGTTAGCTGTAAGCATGAGGGAGCAGTTTTATAATTTATCTAAAAGGCTACTGGTGTGCAGCTGGATGCTTACTTACAGCTGTTATTCATTTCTAGTGCGATATAGGTCATCCCTAACTTATTTAATCTTGAGTGTGGTTTCCAGTTGTTCTCAAGTGCTATTCATTCTTTTGATAACTGCATCCAGTTCCCAGTAAAGTGTGTTCCTTGATCTGTCTGTTTTCTTTATATTTTTGTCGTGATTTGGTGATTTTCACAATGTATGTCCTATCCGATGATCGGATCGCTTCTAGGGTTATTGTCCATCCCCAGATAGGATAATGGAGGAGGGTTTGGCACTGGGTTATATTGGGGATGATAGATCCCCAAAATTCGCTTGATAAATGCCTTATTTTGGTTTTCACGTTTGCCAGCATGGGCTGATCAGTTGACCTTGAGATTTCTTCTACCATCAGGAAAATCCATGGCTGTGATTGGCTGCCGCGTATTTTAGGATGCTATTTTCTTAACTGTCCCAAGGACACTTCTATGATGTGTATAAATAAACGAGAGTTGTATGCTTGATTGTATTGTGATTGCTAAGTGTTTGTAGAATATACTTTCTACGCTTACAGAGCCTTTTATCTTCAGCTTGGGATTCAAGGAAGCCTATCTGGACGCTGGTTCATTGTCTCGTTCGCGTTTATCGACTAAGGTAAACTGGTAATAGCCTCAAGCATACCTAGTGACGAACATATCAGGTTAGAAGACCCATTCCGTTGAAAACATCCTTACTAAATTAAGACTAACAAGAAGAAATAAGTTAAATCATTTACATTTTCTCCTGGAATTTGAATAGTCTACATTCAGAAAAGTTTTAATGCCTTATGTGAGAAGCTGAGTTTCTTCGGAAGTCCCGAAATCAATGTCACCTCTGTCAACCAAAAATGGCATTTAACATTGTTGTGTCGAGGGTCCGTGAAATGCGGGAGGATCAACTGTTTACAAGATTTTAATAAATGGTGATGGTCAATTGATGATGTAGATCACAAAATCCTCATCATGAGTTACTTATGCCTGTTACCGCTCATTCAGCAGGATTTGTCACCCAGCTTTGTCCTGAGTTTTCTTTTCCACTTTTACCAGTGTGCTGTTCAGTCTTTTCATGTCTGCTTCCGATTTCCGATGGCGTGTTTTTAGGTTTTCCCATTCTCCGTTGGCTTGTCTTGTAATGCAGTTTGGGTGATTTCTTCATATGCACATTATACCGAGAAATGGAAACAGACATGAGAAGGATGAATGAAAATTGGACAGAACTGGAAAGAAAGGCCTAGGACAGAGTAGGTTGGAGAATGCTAGTCGGCAGCCTATGCTCCATCGGCGGGAACTAGTGTAAGTAAAACAGTTAGTTATAGGATCAAGAATAAAGATTTGAACAGAATTAAATGAATTCATTTCGATTTCGTTCGGTTGCTCTCAGCTGCTTACAACCTGCAATATTTAAAATCATCATTACAAATTGGATTTTTTACTGCTTACGAGAAAGAGTTTAGTCGGAAGTTGATATAATCATACATAACAGAATAGATTGAATAAAAGATTGCAAATATCAATATCTTGTACAGAAGAACATTCTAAAACAATAATAATAATAATAATAAAAGTCTAAAAATCTGGAAACAAGTGGTTTCACAATGCATAAACCCTGATAAAAAGTAGAAATAAAATTGAATAAAGCTCAGTTAGTGTTTAAAATAAGATCTAGAAAACAGCCGAAATAAAACGGTAGTTAGTGCGGAGAAACAGTTGAACGAAATCTAATGATCTAATGAATTCATATTTATCACACACGTAAAGTAAGAATAATAGTCCATGATTTTGAACACATTATTCAGGTTTCCATCGCCTGACAGCGGTAGTTTCAACATACTTCAAAAAGACTGTGGTGTCCTGTATTCAAGAGATGTTTAGTGACTGCATTATTTGTAGTGGATCTTTCTTTTATTCGAAAGCATTTAGAAATATGTTCAAACAGTCTAAAGTACACTCGCCATTCTGTTCGATCAATGTAACTGCCTTGATAGGTAGACCGTTCCAATAGTAACTTCACATAAGTAACTCAAACTCAATGTGTAATTATGATTTTTAAACAGTACTATTTGTAAACAGCTGACTAAGAACCAATCGAACTATAAATGTTGACTTCAAATGTGTAAAAACGCTAATCTCCGCAACCCTAATTGAAATTCTCGGAATTCTAGTGAGAATACGTGACCAGTGGAGTTCAACCCTGTCGGGTATAGGCAGTAACTACCAAAGGCGAATGGGTGAGGTCACGTAAAATCCCTGGATCAATCAGACTTAGACATTACCACCGTTGGATGCAAGCCCAGTGGTCCGACGGTTAGGCGTTCGCGCACAAGACCGAAGCTCCCGGGTTCGAATCCTCCGAGA